TGACATTGTGAATTACATAGTCATGAACCAGATCCCTTCTCATTGGTCCAAACAAGATAGATCCTATTTTCTCTCCCAAGTAAAATACTTTTACTGGGATGATCCATATCTGTTCAAATACTGTCCTGATCAGATCTTTAGGAGGTGTGTTCCCACTGAAGAAACTAGGAGTATTCTATCCTTTTGTCATGAGCAAGCCTGTGGGGGCCACTTTGGCCTGAGAAAAACAGCTAAAAAAGTTCTTCAATCTGGGCTGTATTGGCCCACTCTCTTCAAGGACTCATTCGAGTTTTGCAAATCATGCAACCGCTGTCAGCTTTTAGAAAAGGTCACTAGAAGAAATATGATGCCCCTACAACCCATCTTATCCGTTAAACTTTTTGATCTGTGGGGTATCGATTTCATGGGACCATTTCCAAATTCCTTTGGGAATGTCTACATTCTAGTAGCCGTTGAATACATGCCAAAATAGATTGAGGCGGTAGCTTGCAAAACTAATGACAACAAGGTCGTTGTTAAGTTTTTGAAAGAGAACATTTTTGCCCGGTTTGGAGTACCTCGAGCGATCATCAGTGATAACGGTACACATTTCTGTAACCATTCTTTTGAGGCTTTGATGGGGAAATATTCTATCACACACAAATTGTCAACTCCTTATCACCCCCAAACCAGTGGAAAAGTAGAGGTCACAAACATGCAGATCAAACAAATCTTAGAAAAAACAGTTAATCATAACATAAAAGATTGGTCTGTAAAATTATGTGATGCTCTGTGGGCGTATAGAACAGCTTTTAAGGCCAATTTAGGGATGTCACCATACAGACTGGTATTCGGGAAAGCATGTCACCTACAAGTAGAGTTGGAACATCGAGCAATATGGGCAATAAAACAGTTGAATTTTAACTCAGACTCGGCAGGTAAGAACAGATTGCTCCAAATAAATGAGTTGGAAGAAATTCAGAATGATGCATACATAAACTCAAAAATTTACAAAGAGAAAACAAAGATTTTTCATGACAAATCAATTTTGCGAAAAAATTTCTCTCCAGGACAGAAAGTTTTATTGTACAATTCAAAATTGCATCTTTTTCCTGGAAAACTAAGATCAAGATGGACAGGTCTATTTTTTGTCAAACAGGTATTTTCACATGGAGCTGTCGAGATAGAAAATCCTAAAATGGTAACATTTTTAAAATAAATGGTCAACGTCTAAAACCATTTTTAGAATTTTCTACGCTCGGAAAGGAAGAGGTGTTGGTTCTTCATAAACCTCATTATCTGTAAAAAAAAATTGAATAAGTAACATAGGGTTAAATAAAAAATAAAAATAATAAAAATAATAATTACTTACAATTTTCCTCTTATTTGATTTCTTCATCCTCATACTAACAGTAATTGCAGATCCTTATCATCATTGTCAACCGAACAAATGTAAGTTCTTTAATTTTATCTGCTTTACTTTATGCTTCAGCGAATTTGCATTGAGGACAATGCAAAATTTAAGTGTGGGGGTGAGAAGTACATATTTTTCTCTTTATTTTACCTTTTTAGTTGTATTTTTCTTTTTTTTTTGTTTAAAAAAATTATAAAAATATTATCACTTGCCAAATTAATAGAGTTAAGTAATAATTGATCAAATTGATAGATTTTAAATTTTCTAATTCTTAGTTAGTGACATATTCAAGTTCACCTTTTATGATAACTCCAAATAAAATTCTTAAGAAATGATTTTTCAACTAGTATACTTTACTTAAGTCTTACCTTAGATTTTTAATTAAAAATAATGAAATTTTTGCATGCTTAACTTAGAGTTGAAAATATTTTTTTCAAGTTATCTTGATTTACACATTTTTTTTCAAGACTATATATACTTACACAGATATATATTTAAAAAAAAAACTAACCTTATAAAAGAAGAGTGTGAAAAATGGACAAAAAAAAACTCTTAAATTCAATGTGATTCTATCTTATAAAATCTAAGTTGACTGAGTAATTAAGCCCAATGAGTATCTCTATACTTAATGACCTAAGCCCAATTGAGTTGGGATTCATTAGCCCAAAACTTGTTAAATGGTCACTTAGAAAGCCCGTTAAAATAGAAAACAATCACCAAGAATTAGAGAGTGAAATATATATATATATATATATATATATATATATAGTTTTTATATATTGTTGTTTTGTATATATGGTCTTGAAAAACAATTTTTGATCAAGAGACTTGAAAGTTATTTAAAACAAAGAGTTGGCATGTTCTTTTCAAAACTTTTTAATTAAATTTCTAAGATTTGACTTGGTTTTGTATTGCTATAATGAAAAAGATTTTCTAGGGGATTTACATTGGAGTTATATATAAAAACGTTTTCTTGATTATTAACTAGCTTCAATTAGAATGTTTAAATATATCAAGGAAAATCTGTTATTTACTGACTTATTTAACTTGGCAAGTTGACCGAATTTTGTGGGTATATTCACTGCAAACCCTCACGAGACTACAACTCGTCCACTAGGGTAACCTAGGGGTTTAAAGGCTAAATATCTCTTCTCTATTTTGCAGCATTTTAGAAGCCTATGATTGAAAGGTTGGAAGCCCATCAAGCAAATGATGGCCCAAAGAAAAAAAATAAAAATAAAACGAAGCACATTTCCGTGACCTCCTGCACATCATGCTCAAGAAGAAGCCACAAAATCAAGCTCCTTGAAGGCCCAAAGCCCATCAACAAATGACTACACCCATGAGCTCTTAAGGACCGTACTTAGGCTGCTGAGATGTGGATTTTCATTTTTTTCTCAAATAAATGAATGGAGACCGGACTGCAGAGTTGGATTTCAGCAAGATGGGCCGGACCTGCTGCAAGACTTGGCTTTTAAGTTTGAATCTCCATTGGACCAGACTTGGGCTGCAAACTTTAATTTTGAAAATCAAAACTCCATTGGACCGGTTGCTGCAGAGATTTAAATTTTCATTTTGAAAAGCAAAGGGACCGGACTTGGCTTGGTGTGCAGATAAATGAAAGGGACCGGACTTGATTTATGTGAATGGGCCGCTGCAGATTTGGATTGGACCGAACTTGATTTTCATTTATTTTTGAAAATCATATGGGCCTCCTATGTTGGGCTAGAGAAGAACAAAAAGCAAATTCTAACTCATTTCTTCACTAACAAATTCAAAGGTGGAGATTGCTTTGCTTGGGGCTCAAGACAAATCCAATGGCTCATATTCATTGATGATTACTATAAATAGGGGTAGAGAGTGATGGGTTAGGGTGTAAAAAATTTTGTAACTCCATTTGGAGAGGAGGGCTACTCTTAATTGAGAAGGCCTTCCAAAAATTATAACTTTAGTTGTAATTAATAATAATAATTTTTCTCCTCTTTAAATTTGTTCTTTCTCCTATTTGTTGAATGATGAGGATGGAGATGGAGAGCAAATTGAAGGTTTGCATTTCTTTTCTCTTTTATTTCTTTTTAGTAATTTCTTTATTATTGCTTATTAGTTAGATTTAAATTCATGCTTGTAGTGTAGATTTATTTTCTTGTCTTTTTATTTCTTTTTGCACTTTAATTTGTAGAGTAGATTTATTTTCCTTGCATTTAACTTTTGTAATATATTTTGTAGTTTAGATTTTAATTCTTTGTAGTTAGATTTATTTCTTGTTCATAGTTTAGACTTTTCTTTTATTTTTATTTTTGTAATTAGTTCTTTTTCTTGTTTTTATTTCTTAAGATGTGAATTTAATTCTTGTTGGAATATTAGAATTGTATGAAACTAGTCTAATTTCCTTTATATTGTATGAATTATTCTCTTACACTTAAAATGATCATGTTTAGGATAATCAACTAGAGAACTAATCGGTAGAAGAAGAATTTGATAATCTATGCTTATCTTAAATGGTTTGATAGGTTATGCTTATGAATTCTAGGATTATTATCATGTTGTTGTTCTTATCATGAATAGTAATTTTAACTTAGATGATAATTTGATAGGTTACACTTTCCTTAAATGGTTTGATAATCTATGCTTAATAAATCTAAGTTGAAATATGATAAAAAGAGAATAGTTTATATTTTGTAATTGAAATTGGTTAGTGGATTATATTCTAGATTTCTTACCTCTTTTGAATCCTCCATCTTGACTTTCTTAAATTTTCTTTTCATTCTTGGTTTTATTTCTTGATTTTATTCATTCATCTTTCTTGCCTTGTGATTTCATTTATTCTTTAATTCTTCCTTCTCTCCTCTAAAATTCAATTTAAATATCTTTTGCATATATTCATAACAATCACTCATCACATTCACACTTATTCTTTATTCCTAATTGTCACGCACAAAACATAAGAACCATTTCTAATAATCTCTTAAAATCACCTTCCTCGTGGGATCGATATTTTTATACTATAACTTGATCAATTGTGCACTTGTAATTTTGGTACATAATTATGCCGCATCAGTGGATCTCTTCAGTGGCTGCTGTTTACAGTCGCTTTTCAAATGCCCCTTACGAAGAACTTTATGCTTCCGATAGTTTATTTGATGCAACACTAGAACCTGATCCTGATGACACTTGTTGATTCTGCTTTAGATATTGATAATCAAATGATGATTGAGCCTGATTTTTTTTAATTCTATGAGATTCATCGGTGGAGGGGAGATGAGCAGGGGGTTGAGGAGTTCCGGTTGTGGAGGGGAAGAGAAGAAACATGGAACGAATGTAATTGTGCCACATTGTAATTAATTGTGCCCCCAAATTTATCCCATTATCCCAATTTACCCTACTTTATCCAACTCAAATTATCCCAATAGGGTAAAATTATTCCATTGGAACAATTACCCTAATTTCTCCCAAATTACACCAATGAATAACCCACCTTATGCGCATGTTAGCGTGGAGTCTATAACACATGACATTTCTGATAGGATCCGGGCCACAGGCCCACAATAGGCTCAGACCCGACCCAAAACTGAGGAGAATCGTTTAAGCGAAAAGGCAATCTCGAGGACGGCAGCACATCTTTCTTCATCTTTTCTTATTATCGCTGTAGAACTTTCCGAGTTCTTCGTTAAAGCTCAGCTTGAGAAAGGGGGAAAAAAGAAACTATGGCTTCGATCAGCGGAATTCGATCGTGCGCTAGGGTTTTGGTGTCCTCTGCTTCGATTTCTAAACCAGGCAAGCTCGATCTCCCCATCTCCTCCAATTTTATTTTAAAGAAATAGAGAAAAAAAAGACTTTTTTGGGGGAAACTGTAAGTAATTTACTCGAAATCAAGATTTTTGCAGATTTTTCTATTTATTCGTAAATTATGGAGTATATTTCTTGATTGTCAACAGTTTGAGAGTTTTCATGATGAGAAAAGAACTATAGAAAGATGCCTAATCTACTTCATTAGTAATACCATGAAATTAGGGATTATTGGCATGAAAACGGAAAGGTTTTCTCGATATTAGTCCCCCAAATCTTCAATATTTTGAAACTAGTCCCCCAAATCTTCAATATTCCGATCCATTTTGACTTGAGCTGTTCTCTTCATCCTTAATCAGGCAACATCTCCTGAGGCTTTTGCGGGCGGCTTGAGTGCCGCTTAGGCTTAAGTAGCCGCCTGGGCGGGCGCCCAGACCGTTCTTTAAAACAATGGATGATCATAACTAATCTAAAGCTCTCGTAATCATAGGAATGTTGTCATTTTTTTCCCTAACATTTGGTTATTGATTTTTTTACTTAGTTGTCTATAGTCTCTTGACACCTTTAGTTGGCTATAGTTTTCTCTTCAATTACGCTGTTTGAAAGCTTGTTCGATACATCAGATGGGTGTTTAGTATGCTTATAGTGTTATAAAGGTATGTTTCATCTAGCATGATGTTTATGTTACACTATATTGCAAGGTTTGTTAAAGACTGGGTCGGTTATGCATTTGACGACGCATGTCAATGCCATCCATGTAGTGATTTCTTGGTTTTTATAGGAAGCACCAATTGTAGATATTTTCTTTTTCGGCTTTGTTTGGGAAAATGGATTTGGATTTGAGATGTAGATTTAAAATCAAAGGATATGAAAACTAGCATTTGAAATCCATAGGTTTTACAAATCTCTTGTTTGGATACCTTTGTCAAATGAAAGGATTTCAAATCTTAGACTCAAATTCTATTATGTGCATAAACTTACTAATGGAAAAGCAAACGGGTAGATGAAAAACTAAAGAGAAAAAAATTCAATCCCCACTTTTTTGGGGGAAAATGAAAATGTCTTGAGGAGCATACAAACGATAATAAACAAAGATAGAATTATTTAAAAAGTAGAATTGTTAAAAAAATAGTAAGTTTATAGCTCAACAATAATGTACTCTTTAGCTTTAACATAACTTTTGCAAAATTCAATTATTCTTAGTTTTATTTTCACACAAAAGGTAATCTAAGCCGACATTAATAGTGCCAGCTACACATACGCTCTCACAATATACACAACAATCAAAGTTATATACAAATGCACTATATACACAATAATCGAAATTATATACAAATTCATGTAGTAACTATATTAAGGTTAGTTACAAGCATGTTACATATTTTTCAACAAATCACCAAAAATGTAGCAATCTCAGCATCTACATGGATGAAGCGTTGAGTGCTTTCGAGTTATATGAGCAAAGAAACTTGAAGAAACAATGGCAATTTTCTCATCTCTATTAGTAGCATTCTCTGATCTCAGTCAATCATCGTTTGATATATTGAATTCAATGGATATCTCAGCTTTTACATGCTTTTTTCTATCCTCAACTTAAGAGTCAAAGACGAAACTTAATAATGCAATTGTAATGTCCCTAAGACATGCCGAAGAACATGAATACAAGATCAAATACCTTACTTCACTTTGTATAGACAGTAAGAAAAATATCAAAAATATCTTCGTTTAATTTGTCCACAAAGCTCGTAAACACACACATGCAACTATGATATGAGAAAATCAAAGAACTACATTATTCTCAGACTTTCTGTCACGCCTCGGTTCCAAAACATAAACATTTGGAACGTGACTCGGCCAACAATACAACCATTTGGTTACGTTCACATCTCTAGGTCATCCTGTATACTAATATATAGCCACAACTATATCACAAAGCATGTAACTAAGACAACAAAAGAATTATAGATAAGAGAAATCTTCGAAAAGACAGAGTTCAACTACAAGTCCACAACTATCCACATTGGAGGAAAAACATCATAGTCTAGAAAAAGCCACATGTGGCTTAAAGAAAAGTCTGAATCAATAACTACCTAAACCAACTAAAATCGAGAACTGATAGGATAAAAGGTGATCACTGTCGCTGAGCTTGATCTCCAAAATACTCACGATCTTGCGAAGAAAGAACAGTCCCCGAGTCTGGGGTAAACAAACCCTAGGGGAGTTAGAAAACTCCTAACAAGTGTGTAAAATGAAGGATAAGTGCGCGTGCAAGTGTGCAGGGTGTAATACATGCAGATTACTAATATAATATTATCTGAAATTGCTACTACTACATAGAAACATGTTGATAACATACATGTACTTCAAAAAATAAAATAAAGGGTGATTAAACTAAAAACTTTATCTACAACCTTCAAGTCATTTCACTATCACAGTCACATGCAAAACATTTTTATTTTAAGTTATTTGAATTAGAGGTGTAGACTTTCATGTATATAAGTTGGCTTCACGTAGGCTCCCGGGAACATGGCAACATGATAAAAATAATTATGGCACTTGGCCTCCTTAAACATGATCCTGAAACATGAATATCCGGATATCAATAGTACCCGCTTATATGCATTTTCATCCACATTCTCTAACTCCCCCTTTTAAACCCCGTGATATCAATTTAATATTTTGATTGTGCACGAAATGTTGTATACTAATTATAATTGTTTCACATGATTTAAATAGACAATACCAAAATGACCTTGCTTATTTAGGCATTTGAATCTTTTTTATATGATATCTCATAAAGCGTAAACTTTAAACATGACCAAGGATAGGTACCATTCGATAATCCATGAAACTAGCCAATGCCACAAGTTCATACTTACAAGCCACATCCTAACGGGATACGTATTCAGCACAATCTACCTATCTATTAACGTCACCGTGTGATCAAGCAAGAATTATGTATTTTGTACATATGTCAACACAAACCATCATCAATCGAGAACAAATATCAATTATAACACAAACGGTTACTAGATACGTTGATCATGTCTAACGAAAATGCAGCAGTAACACATAATATATTTAAAAGAAATGTAACCAAAATAAACTCGAGTTTGACTTGAACTGTACTCGGTTGGGTTCAAGAATTGTTCGATCTGGTTTGGTTCAGCTCTGACTTGGGTTCGGGTCTAGCTTGATTGGACTGATTCCAGCCTAGACCGGATCTGGTCTGGACTGGATTGAACCTAAATAGGTTCTGTTCTGGTCTGGTCCAGACTGGCTTGCTCTGAACTGTCTGGACTCAGCTGAACTAAACTAGGTTATGGTTTGGTCTAAACTGGGTTCAGGTCTGGCTTGGTCTGACCGAACTGGATTGTTCTAGACTGGACCAGATCTGGTCCATTTTGTGCTCTGGTCTGCTTTTGTCTGACTTGGTCTAGGTTGTACAGGAGTAAGCAGTATTTAATTTAGGCTTCGTGTGAGATAGGGTCTGGACCAAAGTAACTTGTGAGCTCTGGTGTTGCAAGATAAAGGGAACAGATGGACTAGGATCAGATATAACAATTGTTATGGACACTTAGAGGTCTAACAAAGAAAAAGAATATGTAATTTGATCAAGTTGCTGATAATGATACAAGTTACAGTTTGTTATACATATACTTAACTAAACTAAAAACCCTATTGAAAAGCAAATATTCTTAGGAATTTAAAATTTAATATTTTAAAGTAAATCAAGTTCTATATTCAAAAGATTTTAATGTGTCACTGTAAAATAATAGTAGATTCGAATTACGTGAAACCTCTTATGCTATTGAAACAAATGCATAAATACATTTTCTTTTGTAAAGTTTAAATATAATATTCTCTTGTTTTAAAACGTGATATAAATTGTATTTCATCATGAACTCCAAATAACATTATGAAAATATTTAGTTCAATTTTATTACTTTAAAATCATGCATAAAAGAAATTGTCTTATATTAATCATATATAATATCGTTTAAAAAGGTCTCTGCTAAAAACAGAATTGTATTCATTTAAATAAAGAACTTTATTTATTATGTTTTTTCATGGAGACTTCTCACTTATAAAAAAAATCAGTTTTAAAAATATATCTAAAAGTTATAACGAAAATTTCTTTTAAGTATATCACTTGTACTGTTAATACTATCATGATCCATCAACTTGTCACTAGAGGAAAAACATGGCTTGAACACTAGAGACTGATCAAAATCGAAGATCTATAACTTGAACATGAACATGAAAATCTAACTTTAATAGAGCCTCGAGGGATTTAATCTAACCATTCATAGGCCATGACATCGATAATTGGTCCGAGAGAGCCAATATTATCAGTAAGCAATCTAGTATACAACATGCACATCAATAAGGCATAGAACATTCACTATACTGCTACAACAACGAGCAGCCTAGCATGGTAGAAATAAGTAAAAGAAAAATGGACCAAGTTGTATCTTGTATGCCAGCTATCCTCATTTAACAACATATATAAACAAAAATATCCTACTCCATTAACAACATCTGCCAAGCATACTATCGTGATGCTAATGAAGCAACAATGAAACCCAATGAAAACATTATATTGGAAGAAATTTTTTTATATCGTAGATGAGTTCTGAAAAGGATACTTTTGAACAAACTACTTAAAATAACTAAATTCAATAAAGCAAATTTCAAAAGAAACTAGTTGAAAAGAACGCTTACCTTAGATGCTAACAAGGGATGAGAAGCCCCCCAATTCCTTTTTTATGAATACGTGAGGGAGAGAAAAGTGGGGAGATACGGAGAGATGGTTAGAGATTGGTTAGGATCCTCTTGGTTTATGGGTAGTGGGTTAGGGATTTAAAATTTGAAATATCTTTAAAAGATTTGGCTTCATCTGATGGGCCTCCACTAACTTATCGTATAAAAGAAAACCTTTATTCATAATTGGGCCCTAAAACTTGAGTTATACTTTATTGTAAAATGACTATGTACGGATTTTAAAATGATTAGAAAAATGACTAAACAGTTTTATTATAATCCATATGACTAACATAATTCACCCAACAACCATAGCCATGCATCCAAAATTCCCAATCCTTACACTTTTTCTGGTTTAGTTCACCAGATAGTAAGAAGGAACTAACTGCAAGTCTACAAGAAGAAAACAATATATGACAAAACACAATAACACCCACAAAACCAAAACAATATAAGTGTTGGGGATCACCTGCATATTTTGTGTGTAAACCAACTAAACAACAAGTAACTAAATATAAATGTTCAGGACAATGAGCATGTCACATTTGCTAAACACACTAAAAATACATAGATAATCTTTGAAAACTATCATATCAATTAGATTAAACTCATTAATAATAAATATCAAAAGGTTAAGAGTTTATTAACTTTTTGGCAATTTGTACACAGTTGATTGATTAAAATTAATTTAAAAGCATAACTTTCTCCTACTAATCATCATGGTATCTAGCCCGAAATAAGTTTTATCCAAGCTCCAACTAGAACTAAAAGAGAATCAATATAGAACATCTAATATGCAGTTAGAGTTTTTTTAAAAAAATTAATGAAGAAATTAGTAAGCCTACAAGAACATGGATTGAGGTTAAGAGGATAATGACACCTATTAATCTAACAAATGGTAGGTCCTTGACCGAGCTGAATGGGATAAGGCTTAGACATTATCCCTATCATAGGCCTACCAAAGCTTCCCATACTACTCACAAGACCACTCGGTCTTTCTTATTTCTAAGAATAGTAATAAACATATCTTGCCGTGCGAATCAAAGTACAACTCATTAGGGGTTCCAGCTAAAAGATTTGACTAAAGACTTCTCCTCAAGAACTTTATTTTGTTTCAGCAAGGATCTACCACCTTCTCTACTATTTATGATTATGAACAAAACTACTAGACAATACGACACATCCAACCATGACTCATACAGAACTGAAGAACAAAATTTTCAAGTTAATAGTCCTTGAACAAGCTCAATTATTAGTAGGCCAAACAAAATCACTCAGACCGTGGCTCATGGGCTAGTGATGATGAAAGCACAACATTTATTTCAAGCTTCCTACATAGACAACATTTCTAAAAGGAAACACTCTTAAACCTTTTCTTTACTATGGGCATATAATGAAAGTGATCAATCCTCGTTGGGAAATTAAGGTCATACTATGAGTGGACAGCATTCAACCACATATGAGCATAGGCAAAATAACATAAAAAATGCCCGAAGAAATGGATGTAAATAAGAAAGTGTGCTGGTTTCTTCATTGTTTAACGACGTATTTTATTTTGCTTAGTCATGATTGAATCACATCTTTGAAGAAAAATCCAACTCTTAAAAGGTGAATCTGCATTCAAGAGGCTAGATATGCAAATGTGGTTTTTTGAAGGGACTTATACCCTTGATAGCCCAAAATTGCACACATAGGTACATGAAGACGGATACTCTATGTGCCGGTTTCCCTATGTATCTTAGTCCTATATGTATGTAGTACAAGTGAATAATGTGAACTGTTTACATATCCATAAAATTAAGGATAATCCTCAAATTTAAATGTAAAGAACATATTACCAATTCAATGCAGAAATTTGTAATGACCATCTAGTAATCACACAAATGCTAATCGGTAGACTATGTCATGGATCCAAATTTCATGCAAGCTAAAAGATATAAAGTTCAAAACCTTCATATATCAAAAACAAGTGAAAGTTTTCATTCTTTTTCATGTTTCTCAATTAAATAGTAAAATTATGCCCGCTCTTTTCTCTAAATCAGAAAATATAAATAAATATATCCATGACAATATTAAGGTAGCAACTCAAAATCTAAAATTAAGCACAAAAGGACTACTAAAGATTATAGTTATCACAAATAAGATAAAAAAGGACAAATTTCGATATCAATTGGCTCAAGATTATCAACCCTAGTTACAATATCAATTGCCCAAAAAGAGAAATAAATTACAGAGTATCACATACCTTAAGCTAGAGCTAGGGTTTCGACAACAGAAAGAGACTCAGGCGAGAGAGGCATAGATCCACTGGCGACTGGGGGGCTGCGTTTGAGGCGTCGGGGAGGGAGGGAGAAGTGAGATCTCCGATGTTCGAGGCGAGTCGCCGGAAGAGGCGGAGGCGAGATTGCCGGTGTTCGAGGTGAGGCGATCACGATTCTCAGAGAAGAGGAAAGTCTGGGTCAGTATTTGACAAATACCAAGGGTTAGGCTAGAATTTGAAATCCAAGGCTTTGAACTTCCAAATCCATGGTGTAAAATATCGTGATTTGAAATCTAAAGTTTAAACTGGAGTCCAAACAAAAAATTTATTTTCGGAATATCCTGAATTTCAAATCAGAGACCCAAATCTGGGTTCCCAAACAGACCCATGGAGAATTTCCCTTGAAGGATATGATTGATATTGCTAAGTAGTTAATGGAGTACACAAGTTGTCCGGTGATGAAAGAAGCTCTGGTAGAAATTGAACTTAAACTCTTCACTTGAGCTGGGATAAACTGATAATTGAAACTCAACAACCCCTAGCTGGCTAGCTCCAAGGGTGTGCACGCGCGTGCACAACCACACACACAGTGCTTTTGATGAGAACCCAAGCGCTCATGATTTTTTATTTTCTCTGAACCCTTGTTCACCCAAAATAGATTTCTAGTAGTTTGGTCCATATATCTATGGAATATGGAAAATGTTTTCTCCTTTGGGTTGAAATGCAGCATTAGTCTGTCGCCAGTTTGGAGGAGGAAACGTAAATTAACACATTTACTGTGGTTTAAAAATGTTTTCCTTGTGTTCAGGTTACCAAACTACTGCATAGAAAATCCTGTTTGTCTTGCGCCGCCTCTATATGTTTGCTTCAACCAAGCAGTCTTTATCTATGTGATACCTTTGTTACTAATGGGTTTCTTCTGGCTGACAGTTGTCTTGTTTACTTTATATAGTTCTTGTTCAGAATTTGAGTTATTGAGTTTCGGTTTGTGATTCATGTTTTTTGTGTGCGCACGCCAGCAACCAGAGAGCTTCATGCAACTGCAGCGAAGCAAATGGGAGGTCACGGCCATTCTTCGGATCCCTATTATCTCCATGCAAAGCATATGTACAATTTAGACCGGATGAAGTATCAGAAACTGACCATGTCTCTCTCGGTTCTAGCTGTATTTAGCATTGGCGTTGCAGTTCCAGTCTATGCCGTGATCTTTCAGCAGAAGAAGACTGCTTCAGGGTGATAATCTTTCAAGTGCTTCGGAATTTTGGAGTCTCTTGTTTTCGATGTGATTTTAGTTTTTACTGAATGTTATTCAGTGTGTCGTTGTAAACTTTATTGACCTTCTGTGGATCACTGATAGGTCAATTTGCTTTCCTCTTTGTTCAAATTTGGGACGCAAGTGTATTGCAAGAATGTTTGGGAGCATAATTTCCTACGACGATGTTTTAATATCTGGAGAATGACGTGGTACTTAATTGTTTGACTCTTCAACGTACCTGTTCGCTGCTTTGAACTATTTTTCGAAAACTTGAAACTTCCTGAGTAAAATTGATGACAAAAAAGACATAAAGTTGATATTGCTGCCTGAATAGTGGATTACTTCATATAGTTTGTGGATTAAAACTTTTTTCTCCCAATTGTTCTTCGATCATTCTTAATCCTGTGGCTAGCTTGGAGATGATGTCCATTAGCATAAGAACTTCCTACCGCAACAGTTTTGGTGGCCGGTTGAAATGTTCAAATAAACTATATAGAGGCCGATATGGATATGTTGGGCTTGGACGTATTTGTACGGCTTAGTGACAAATTTAGGAACAGTCTAGCTAAAGTAGTGAACGATGTATGCCACATTAAAGAGCTTTTTTGAATATAATAAGTAAATGTGCAACTTTGTTGAGACTGAGCGAAATGTAAGAAGTTATCATATGACCAATCGACCATTATGTTTGCTATAAATAAGATGGGAAAGTAACGTTAAAATAAAGCGCCTGTAGCACAATGGGACCGCAATTGAGCATCGATCAGTTTATAATATTTTCTCTCCTCCCATTGCTTTATAAATCTTAAAAATTCCATTTATTTGTAGTCATGAACCTTATGTTTATGAAGGATAGAAATATAGCTCAAAATATGTTACAATTATTAAGTTTCACGGGAAGCACATAACTAAATTACATCTATGTATTTTTTATTTGAAAAAAAAAATCAATGCCTGATCCTGTACCTTCTACATATTGCAAGTAGTACTTCAAACATAAAACATGAACTAAAGCTAGTGCTACCAGAGCTCTAGACCCTGAGAAACAAACCCTTGATAGTATTTGATGGCCTATACTTGAATTCAACAGAAGCATCAAGGGTATCTGAAGTTATGTGCAAATCCTGGTCAGCGAGACGATAAACCATGATCATTACCAACACGAGCACTTTCCATTTATTTATACAAAGCAGGAAAAATAACTTCTGTCTCACAAATTAGAGTCCATTAAATATTTATTTGTACAAAGCAGGAAAAGAACTTCTGCCTCACAATATTATGGTCCATTAAATACAAGTCAGTAATTCACCAGCAAATAATATGGCCTGAAGAGCCAAAGTCTCACTTCTCGGATACAGAAAAAGAATTAGCACACATTTAGAAAAATCACAGTTATCAGGGAACAAGTAAACAAATGATACTATCAAAAGAAAGTTTTATTTTCTTCCACTCCAGATTACCAGTTTACACCATGGGATATAAACTACAAGAAAAAAGATACAAGAGAAAAGTAATGAGAGACGTGGAAGGAACTTTTCTTTTTATAAACATTGTGTAATGTTACATGGATGCAAGAATTCAAAACCTTGCATTATGGCAAAAATATGGAAGGACAAAAGAATTACAAGAGACCAAAAGGTACATAATTATTGAAGCTTCTCTGTGCATCTGTCCATGTGTATTGTGGATTGGGTGGTTTGAAGATAACTGCCTATACAACTACAAATTTTGCTTCGCTAGCATCTGCTGGAGCTGACGTACTTGCTGTTGTTGCTCTAGTGGTAGTGAACTTAATTGCTCTGGAGTTAGATTCATCACTTGCTGAAGAAGAGCCGATTCTAGTTCTGGTGGAAGCTGCACAAGATAAAGAAAAATAGTAAATGGAAAAATGTAGATACTTCAGGTGATAGATTAGGTTGTCTGCTGAACAGAAGCACTATCTTGTGCCTCCATCTATCATGTCTTACTTCTCTTAGCGATGTTCAACTTCATATGCATTCACAAGCATCTTCCCTCAAATTTATACCCCTTGTGTAAATATTTGATTAACCAAATTTGAAAAGTACACAACATGAAAGATACCAATAAAATAATACTGGAAAGTTAGTTAAAATTAATTGTTATCCATTTCTTTTGGAACAACATTTTGCCGTATCCACCAAGGTCGTAAAACATGGTATCATTATTGTTAGGTCTCGTGTTTTGATGATGATTTACAAACCTCATTATTGGTACTAATTGCTTGTCAAATGATCCTACGCAGGATGCATTTATCAAGCAACATAGTACCATTTGTTGGAGGTTGGAAGGATTTGCGCCGTAATGATGATATCCGTGGAGGTGGAGGGAAGTTGATGAAGAAGCCTCAAAACGCTCAAAGATCGACTCAAGCATATATCTACTTATGAAGAGCGTTCAAGCATATAGTCAAGAAGAGCTTCATCAACAAATTTCTAGCGAATATCGATACTTAAGCATTGTGTACAATTGTAAGCGATATTTGCATTTTTACTTCTCTCTAGATCATAATGTAGGCAAGAAAAAAGTAGATAACTTTTGAAGCATTTTGGGATTACACACATTTTAAAACTCGTATTTTTGACGATTTTTGTAAAACAAGTTCTCATAAATACGAGATGCTATTTTAGAAATTCTTTCTCTAACATATCTATTTTCATATATATAAGTATTTTCCCAAGTCTTACTATTTTTGGAATTAATTTAATATTTTAAATCTATTTTAGAAAATCAACAGTTTTAAAAAAAATCATGTATCAGAAAATGTCAGTTTTTGGTCGACTGCCCCTCTTCTATCAGTTGACTGTCCAATTGTAAGTTTTTAGCGCCTGCAGTGGTTTCGTGATCAGTCGACCAATGCAAGCTCATCAATCGACTGCTACGAGCCCATCAGTCGACCGATACAAGTCCATCGGTCGACCGATAGCACCTATTGTTTTCCAGTCTGTCGAACGGTCGACTGATTGGTCGACCAATTTCTTCAACCAGTCGACCGATAGCATCACCAATAGTAATGACTAGTTTCCAATTTTCTGATTTTGGGGGATTTATTTTGGTTTTTATATTTTCTTTGGATTTGGGTTGGGTTGTTGAGAGACTATACATAGTCTTCGGGTTTCATTTATTGACTTAACCAATAAAATAAGAGAAAACCTTGAGTTTTGTTTTTGAGATTTCTAAGCTTACATTTTCAACTTACTCTCAAGTCCTCAAGTTCTTCAAATTTTCGGTTTTCACTTTCACATCCCACAAGCCCCTGAGCTTCAATCGTTTATCTCTTCATCCTTGCTATAGGATTGTTGTAAGAAAGAATTTTTCTTCATGTTGTATTGTGTGGAGAGCTATATCTCGAGGAGATCATTGTGTGGAGAGTTCGATCTCGAGGAGATTATTGTGAAGAAGTTCCGACTTTCAAACCGGGTTGTGTAGTGGATTACCATCGGGAGAGGTGGTCGGGGACGTAGGTCAAGAGGACCGAACCTCGTGAACACATCGTCGTCTCACTTGGCTAACTATCTCTAACTCTTTTAAATTATTGTCTTATTACTATATTTGTGTCTTAAATTGCATTGAATTTTTATTAGTTACACATTATTGTTTGATTACCCTATTCACCCCCCTTAGGGTAATTTCAATTATGTGTACGGTCTAAATATCAGTAGCTATTAACCGGATTATGGGCAATTCTCGGAATTATGCATTTTTGAAAATATATATATATCATATATATATATATTATATATATATATATATTATATATTATATATATAATTTATGTATATATATATATATATTTATATAATTCTATATATATATATATGATTATATTATATATCTATATATATTATATATGTGTGTGTGTGGTCGTGTGTGTGTTGTGTGTGTGTTGAGAGAGAGAGAGAGAGAGAGTAATTGAGAGGAGAGAGAGAGAAGAAATGGGAGGAATTGGTAACCAAGCATAAACAATTTATGCGTGATATGAGATGACTGCATTTCTGCATCCACTGCATTAAAATAAGGAGACCACATTCACACGGGTTGTATAATGAAAAAGTTATTATTTAAGTGAGAGCATTTGAATAAGTGGATGGGAATGGAGTCAGCCTTACTATCAAGCACATAGTTTGTGTTTGGTAATAAATTCTCCTTTTTCTCATATATACTATATATATATATATATATATATATATATATACTATATATATATATATATTATATATATTTTATATATTATTATATATATAATATATATTATATATATTATAATATACTATATATATCACATACAAAAATAGGGTTCCCCCTAAAAAAAACCACATTTAAAGTATGATCATTCTCTAGAAAATATTTTTGATTGTCGACTTATACATAAACCACTTGAAATAATTTTTTTCTTGCAATCAATCATCTGGAATCACTTTTTGGTTAAGGTCTTTTAGCTTTGCTGTAATGATTAGTTGTGAAATATCAAGTATATAAGAGAGATGATTCTTGATGGAGGTTAGGTGGAGCAAATTACCAAAAAACTTAACTGAAAAGCAGGCCCATGTGGTTTATTGCAACAAAAAACCCTTAAAGGTAGTTTATGTATAAACTAACAATTAAAGGCAGTTTTTGTAGAATGATCATATTCTAAAGGTGGTTTCTGTAGAACGATATTTTAAAGGTGGTATTCCAGGAAAAAGGAATTCTTTAACAAGAGGGATATTTCATAAAGCAACTAATAATTTTGCAGCATCTTTTACTTTAACCCTCAAAAACTTTGAAAATGTCGCTTAACCCCAAATAAATTGTTAGAAAAACAGCAAAACTTAATATCGCTAACGTTGACGTGTCATGTGCAAATAACGCATTGTCGCATGATCAAAACACCGAATAAGTTATACATGAAAGTCCCAATGAGCTAGTTACGTCAGTTACCCCACAAAAGGTTGAAAACTAGGGTCTTTCCGCATATACACATCCCAAATTAGCCATATTTGCAAAATCATCCGCCAAATCCAAATATTGCTAATTCACTCTTGAAATCTTGCAAATCGGATTAAAAAAACCTAAAAATTTGATAACAGCGTTTTGGGAGTTAACTAAGGAAATTTGAAACTTTTTTTTTGTAGTTTCCAACCTTACTAGGAGTTAATAATATTTTCAAGTTATTGGGGTATGAGAAAATTACCTAACATATAGGGGGTTTTGTAAAATTTATCATAAATTAGCTTGCTTTGTTTCGTAAATAGAAGAAATTATGCCCTTGCTTTATGTGAGCATAAAGACAAAAGCCCACACTTTTTAAATTGTCATGAGCTTGAGTCCTTCCATTAAATAATCAATCGTGTGCCTGTTTCTTAAGAAAAATGATCACGTGTGGTGGCCCGATCATTATGTATAATAATCCCAATCATTGTTTGTGTGCCATTATATAATCGATCACACGCCTACATCATTAACAACCTTCAATATATTTCTATTTTATATTTCTTCTACAAAAAAAAATTCTTTGGTTTGCCATGCTAATAAAGTTATAGTCTACCATGCTAATAAAGTTATTAATCTTGTTTCTTCAGCATACCACGAACGTGAGATTAATTGCCAAAGAACAAGCAAGGTTTGAGAGAGCTCGGGAGAGCCTTTTGAGCTTTACAAATCTAATACTAAATTCTCGACTATGGATCTAATCAATTTAAGCACTTTAGCTTTCACAAAAGACATTCTGGCAAAAGAAGTCGCTCTATGCTCAATCGAACTCTGCATGTTTCTTGCATTGATTGACATCGTCTCTATCTATTGTTTTAAATATCGGACATCGTGTAAATATCGAATAACCAAACTTTATATTGGATTGTGAAAATCGGGGATATGTAACAAATATCGGGGTGTCACGTTCATGCATAATACAACATTCTAATATGTAATCTAAATATATTTAATAATTTCTAAACACAAAATTGCATCATGATATATCTTTAGAATTACTAACAGATTGTAGCAACTTTTTTCTTAATTGCATCATCAAACCTTCAAAATGAATAACATTAAAAGAGATGTAGAGAGCGATTAGAGAGAGGTAGAGAGAGATAGAGAAAGGGGTGCAAGGGGAGAGAGGGGAGAAGGATGAAGAAAGAGAGGGTGGGGGAGAGAGAGAGGGCAGAGAGAGGGTGGGGAAAGAGATGAGAGAGACTGAGAGGCAAAGAGAGAGAGAGAGGACACACAAAGAGGGAGGGGAATAGGGGTAGAGGAGAAAGAAACACAGAGAGAGGGTGAGAGAAAGCGGCGAGAAAGAAGTGAGCGAGAGGCGAGCACCAAAATTTTAAGGGTTAGGATTTTTGTGAGATTGATTGTGATTTCTAAAACAAATTGAGAGTTTTATTTGGTATTTAGGTCGAGCTGTAAACCCAAAACCAAACTTCAACACACAAAAAACATACACAAAAAAATCTAATATCAACCGCTATTGCGGATATTGGGATATATCGGATATCAACTGATATATCGAATTTTTTTTCGATAATATTGCTTTATCATTGAATTACCGGATTTGAACCCTTTCTGCTACGATAAGTTCAATTCTAAAGCAGTTATCGTTTTTGGATGTTTATCGGCGATAACGTGAGATATCGGTAGTTTTATCGGTCTAAAAATCGAAATTATCGGCTAAATTTTGTTTGGTTTGGGTTTTGATTTCCGGCAACAGACATGTATTCAAGAAGTTTCTATAATTGATTAGTGATCCTAAACATATTTATTTACATTTTGGTACGTTTATATTACATTAATTATGGTTAGATTACAATTTAAGATATTATATTATATATGTACATCATCCGATATGTCACTCTGAT